GAAGTAATTGAACTAAGAGGGGCACTCACAATATTGTTTTCTCTTATAATTTACTGCCACGAAATAGACCATACAAAATAACATTTTAACGGTATATTTTAAGTACGTGCCCACTGTTTATCGAGCGGCCATAAAACAAATGTGCCTTACAGGAATGGGCTGTTACTTTCGAGTCATTATAAATGATTAATATGGCCATTAGTATGTTACCATATGTGTCTTATGATGTACAGATTGGTAGCATTCGTATGATGATTAATAACGAGAGTTTATTTTGATTAGAGTAAGTGAGTTTGAAGTACGGAATAAGATAACAACAGGGCTTCATTTATTTATGAATGGCGTATCAACTAATTGAATTAGTTTCGTATAATTCAGACTTAATTGTGTATGTTTTAAAGAGTGATTAGTAACCCTCGACTTTAAACAGTGTAAGGATTTAGGATGATAAGGACTATCTACAGCTTAGTTCAGTTAAAGTCTAGACCAGGGATTCCCAAAGTGGTGGATATCAACCCCTTGGGGTCGAAATCGGTTTCCCAGTAGTCGACATAAACGAAAACTGAATTTGGGGGTCGATTTTTAAACAAGGAGGTCTATTAATTAACACAAGTTCTTATTTGAAACTTTTGATACTTACTGATAAGAATTACTAATATTTTAGTAGGCAGTACTATTGTTGTACTTTTATAAAACTGAACAAGTCGATAAGCTTGCAGTAATATGGATATGGGGGTCTGAGGTCAGTTCATTTTAGAAAAGGGGTCTCTTACCCAAAATAGTTTGGGTATCTCTGGTCTAGACATATAACTTGTGAATCTATCAGATTATAAAAAGAAATAAGCAAGCCTAGAAACTCTATGATTCGTTGGATGGCAATATCAAATATCAATATATTACCTGGTTCCTAAAAAGTGCATAATAAACTATTTAAATTCGTGACTAGCAGTAAGTAATTAATTACGGGATTGATAAATGCTAGTAAATTTCAAAAAAAGCTTTTCATTACAATGTACTACAGTGAAAAGTCTTTGGGAAATCTATTAAAGGGAATAGAACTCATCAATGTGGATAATTTTTGCTTTCAGTAGATTTCAATCAAAAATAAATTGAACAATGTAATTTTGAAGAATTCGAAAAGTGTCTATTAAAGTTTTGATACATAAATTGTATTAACCATAAAATTGATTGCTAAAAGTTTTTAATGTGAAAACTACTGTAAGTTTACATATTTTTTAATAAATATATTTTTTTTTTTTTTAATGTTAAGGCCTTGTTTACAGTAGACTAAGAAGGGTGTGTTTTAAAAAAAATAGGTACATCAAAATTACAATAGTTTTGCCCACATTACAAATTCGATAAATTCTGCACAACACGGGTCCACATGATATTATTTTAAACTACGCCAAAATTTAAAAATTTAGTTGATACATACCTTTAGCTTTATGATAATTAAACATTTCTGTGCTCTAACTTTATGTAAAATACTTCAAGTTCGTGAAAATGCGATTAATATAAAAACATCAAGAGAAACAATGGGGCACTTATACATTCGGCCTTTATAGTTAGCGTTGTGTAAGTTCATACCTACACGTTATATAAAAAAAGTAAAAAAAATTAAAACGTGGTCATAGACATCTTATCGTTTATTTTTTTATGGTGTAAAAAACAAATTGTGACAGCATTTTTACGTCAAAAAATGATGCTTCGTATCCAGTAGAATACAATTTTATTACACATTAATTGTATTCTGCATCTGCAATCTGTAGACTGCATCTGTTTTAGAGACAATATATGTCAATTTGAGTGTTATATAGTAAAAAGATCATTAATTTTCTTCGATCAAAAGTACTTCTTGATGTCAAAAACCTAAATTGTATTCTAGAATTGACTGCATGAATGGCGCAGTGGTTTAAGCGGTCGCCACGCCGCTTCCTACTGCGCCGAGTGTTGTGGGTTCAAACCCCACATGGGACGACACTTTGTGTGATCCACAAATTGTTGTTCTGAGTCTGGGTGCTCTTTGTGTCCGTTTCATGTATGTTTGTAAAGTCCCCCGCAACACAGGATATGTTCCTAATGCGGGAGTTGTCTTTTTTAAAAAAAAGAAGAAGAAAAGAAGAATTCTCAAAATTTCGCTTAGAAGCTTGCAATATTCTTCAAACTACAGGTTTAATTTGAAGGAAATTTGAATAAATACCATGTTATATATATTATGCCATGTTGTTTATTGAAAATTGACGCTATAAAACAATCTTAATGGTTTTGAGAAAAGGATACCCTTGTTTTATGTTGCGTCGACTGACGGAGACCCTTAGATTACCATTCCATGTAAAATATATTGTAACTCAGTAAAACTAAATAGTAAATAAATCTCAAATTGGTATAAAACTAATAGGATTATAAATTTGATATTCTGTAAGAGTCCGAGCGAAATGCCAAAATTTATTTTGGATTCGATGCTTTGTTTTTAATGTTTGAGATTGTTTATAATCAGAACTGCCTTTTACCTTTTGCCGGTGTACTATAATTATTACGTGTTACAATTTATGCAAGATTATAAATAATCCTTTTTGTATTATTCCCACTGAATTTGTTTTGTCAATAAGATTTCTCACTAATACAAAAGTCTAAATGTTTGGTTTTTCATCGCTTGTCATTTGGATATGGAGCAGCACTGGAAATATCTCAAGGTCTGTAGCATACACAGCTATCGTTCGTTTGTCTGTAGTTGCTTAAGCTTATCATTTACAAACGTATTCCCAAAGCAATCATTACATGGAATGATCCAATCAGTAGCTTAAGGAAATGATAGAAGTGTAATGGAAATGTATTTTAGCGATATGTGTGTATTAATAACGGCTTTTATACGACATGACAGGTAAGGCAAGCCTAAAACAGTTATATTTACAATGTAAAGTCAAAGAACTTGAAATTAAGTGCTAAAACCGAGTCTAGTCAATTGTTTTGTGTGTTTGCGTTAAGGAATCGTTTATATTGTAGTAAGTAATTGAAAAAAATCTAAACCGATGTTCCTTTGTTGAATGTTCCTATTAAAATTATTATTTTGATTCTAATCAAACAAGATTTTAATCTTATCAGAAACTTCAACAGATTGGTCTGAAAGCAATACAATAAGTCCTAAACTGTTTTTGAGTTTTTGTCTACCACGTATCTTGCTAACAAAATCGACACATCAAATAATCGTTAGTAATCTTAAAACCGTTTAAGTTTGAAGATATAAAAACAGTATTCTTCTTCAATAGGCTGATAGATTTGAGCCTATTTTTATCACCATATGGATAGATCCAACATCTTTATGTTTTTTATTTGCATGCTCTTCACCATTTTCATCAGTTAGGTTGTTATTTTCATTATCTCACATACATTCTATTCTACATTCTTCAAATACACCTATTTTGTTGTTTTAGTGCTATTATCTTCTTTAAGCGATTTATTTTGTTTAGCGAGTGATTTTTTGTTGTTGCTTTGTTGTTTATTTATTGTGAACAGGTAAGTCGTGATTTGTAAATAGCACCAGTTAATAAATTTGTGTATACTCGTAGTAACATACTGGTAATGTGGCAAAAACACTTTGTGCGGAATTTTACTAGAAATATTAAAAATAATAAGGAGCTCGAGCACTTGAATATGTTATTAAAGATCTGACTGATCACAAATATAAATTGAATTATTTATTTAAAAAAAAAAATAGAAGCGGACTAAACGCCCAGGGATATTTCTTGGCATGCCAGCCCCAGGGCAACTTAGAAATTTTCTACATCCATATTGTGTAGAAACGATTCAATCCTTATACTGGTTAAATGCCAATTTACTGTCAAATTTACCTATATTCTATAAAGTAACATTAAAACTTCAAAGGATCGATGAACCTACAATTCGTGGATGGGGTAATTTCAGCATAATAATACGTTTCATATATGCAATTCAAATTCAATATTTTTATCACTATCGACTGTGACAAAAGATTTTTACAGTACGCATAATGGACCGTCTGTGAGTCTAAGTGCGGAACAAGATCACTTTAACAATATATTGTTATAGTTAGAAGCATTATGAGCTTTTGTAAATATGTTTAGAAAAATTCATTGCTTTTTCATGAAATAAGGTCAAATTGAAGTTTACAATAGTAATTTTGTCACATTGCCGTGTTCTGGCTAGGCCTCCTGTTGTAGGATTCACTCCGTATTCTCATCCAGGTGTTAACATATCTTTGTCCCACGCTGCTTGGACAGACCTACACGCGACTCCACGTGTGCGAGATCATCAACAACCAACCGTGTTGTCCGCCGCAGCAAGTGAGTTGTTGTTTATTGTTGGATGTTGTAGTGTTGTTGTTGATTGGGAAAAGCAGTATAATATCAGCGCTTGCAATTTTTTTTCAAAGCCCTCGTTAAGGAATAGCTTCCTTAATATTGTAGAATAATTACTATCCCTATATAAAGATCCTTGCTGGATATTTGTACATCGCAACTTGGCATTTCTTTATGCCATGGAATTTATTTTGATGCTGTATTACTAAAGCTAAGAGTTTAAATTATTCTGTTTTGTATAATGTTCTTTAGTGAACGATTTGCTTTTCCCATAAGTTTTAAAATATCGGTAACATCTACTAATCTTTTTTGATTCAGGCATGCACTTGGTTTTGTACTATTTGATTATTTTTTTCTAATAAATAGCAGTACTTCTAGTATTGCAGTTTTAGTTGTTGTTACACGTTTTTTATTTTTATTTTGATGCATCCTTGTCTTCACTTATCATTATTGGCTTTTTATATTGAGTTTCATAACATTTAATACCATCTGATAGTCTATTCGTTTAGTAGTTGTGTTTTTGATATTGCTCTCAATTTTATTTTTCTTTTCAGAAAAAATATATTTTACAAATAGTGTTATTTATGATTTAACTATACTATTACGTCATTTTTTTCAAACTGCACCATTACGTAAATGCAAGTATTAATTATATTGTTTGTGCAGGTGAACCGTCACGTGAACGATCTATTCGAAGACCTGCGCGATGGACTCAATCTCATATCTCTGCTGGAGGTGCTTTCTGGCGAACACCTCGTAAGTATTTTAATAAAATCTTTATTTAATAATAAATATAACTTCACACATTTTACACATATTATACAAAAATCGCATCAAGATACAGAACAAAGAATTGTGCTCATCAGATAATTATTTGTTCTGGGTGGGTACCGAATCCACGACTTCTGGCTTAGCAATCAGCACCACTGGACCAACAGATCCGGCAAATATAATTGAATAGATAAGCTTTATTGAACAGTATTTTTTAACAAAAATACTTTAATAATTACGCGATTCTGCAGTTTTTCCTTTCGGTAGACACTAATGTTTCCTTTTCTTTATTTACCAAATCGGCTGGTTGATGGCCATAGACTTACCTCTATTTTGGAATTTTTATTATTGTCACCAGTTCCATTACAAGATGTCTTTCTATAGAACTTCGATATCGTCTAGTACTTGAGTTGTGGACGTCTGATGGCAGTCGCTCCTCGTAAAAATTGAAGTTCAGCCGTACCGTTGTAAACTTAAGGCCGACCCCAATATAGTTTGGCAAAAAGGTTCGGACGAAGAAGTAACATACCTAACTTTGTATTTAGTTGGATAATTCCAATCTCTTTAGGAATGTGTAGAAGATTGCCAAAGACATTCAATTCAATTCATTTCAAAACATTCAACACCGTTCAGGTGTTCGCTTAGAATCGCTTACTCGAGGCATTTTTGTTAGAACTCTTTAGTTCGTGAACCGATATTTATTTAATTATGACAAGGGCGTGAACAAATGACACGATATGTGCTCATAATACCGGCCAGAAACAGAATATATTTAGATTAATGGTTCAATCGCGTGTTATTGTTGTTTCATTTGTTCTTGGATGTAAAAAATCATAATTAAGAACAACATGATACTTCTCTGAACGTGCAAAAAGTAATTTTTCATTTGTTGTATGTCCATTCGTCTAATTCTATTTCTTAGTTCGTTTTAATAATTCACATGGACTCAAAATGCTATGAATCAACAGTATTCTTATTTGTCGAGTCCATTTTTATCTTTTTTTTTGTTATTTTCTCTTGATTCAATTACTAACTTAGTGCCATATACTTTTAATATGATGTCTTTATTTTTTAAAGAAGATTAAACTAGTGTTTTTTTTTTGTTCTACCATAACCGCGTAATACTGCAGATGTTACATCTACTTATTGATTAATACTTAACCTACAAAACTCAGAAGGGTAGTAATGGGGTTATCTAGATTCGTTTAAATGGATCGGGGCAATCGCAGGTGTGGCCGGTATCTACCAACCCTAGCCTAAGTCTTAGGGGTGTTTAATTTATTAATGCGGGAACACAACGCTAGTTTACAATAAAGGTAGATTATCTAATGAACTGCTCAATATCAAAATTACATACTGTCCTCGTAGATTGTCGTACATCGATCACCTATAATTTTGTTATGTTTTAGTAAAAAAATCGTGTACAGCAAAGTTTATTCTATTGTATTTAAGCTGGTCGGGCATATTGATACTCGTACTGACTATTAGCCACGGTATTCATGAAAATGGTCGCTAAATCTTAAAACTTCTACAACACAACGCGTTTGTGACTCCTGAATTGCAGACGTTCATGGGCGGAGATAGTCACTTTCCATCAGGTGATTCATTCCGTCTGCTCGTCTGCCCCTCGAGCCTGCCCCTCTAACATAAAAAAAAAACACACACACAAACAGTGAATCTGATCTGCAATGCATTCAGTGCGTTTTGCTTCAGAGTCAGGGGCTGATAACATTTTGTTCAATGTTAAAAATCTATTTACTCAACTCTTCTTACCCCCATACTGTGCCTGGGTCCTACCTTCACAATGTACTTAGGGCGATTTTGAGCCTTACTCTTACCTATCATAGATAGATGATTAAGACTTCACTATCTAAGGGTAATTTTTTCCCCTTTAATTAAGTATACAACATACATACATACAATATAGAAATTAATTTAAATAACAAAGAATTTGTTTAAAATACATGATATATTAAAAATAAAGTTTGAGTATTTAACCCATTAGTCTATATTAATAAAATAAAAATATATTTACGTATAAGGTATTTTTTATGGCGTATTAAATGAGTATTTCATTTAACACGCCATAAAAATACCTTCAAGGCTTACTGCACATTGCTAAAACAACCTTAAGTGGGCATTATTCTAATATGACAAATACTATTATTACCTTCTTAAAGGAATAATCTAACAGTATTACTACTTTTTACCGGAATTATTACTTTTTACCGTTTAGGTTATGCCCTTAAAGTTTTAACTAACTTTATATTTTTTTATTTCCGATAAATTCTATAACATATTTACTCGTTATCGATGGAATTTGTTTTACGTATTGATGCAGTTTTAAGGTTCCCACAAATTCCCGTTATCATTCTTTCCGGTTTTTAAATATCTTAACTTACCTTTCCAGCCGCGCGAGAGAGGCAGAATGCGTTTCCATATGCTGCAGAACGTCCAAATGGCCCTCGACTTCCTCCGGTACAAGAAGATCAAGCTCGTTAACATCCGCGCTGAAGATATCGTCGATGGCAATCCTAAGCTGACCCTGGGTCTCATATGGACCATAATCTTACACTTCCAGGTTAGTGAGCATGCTAGTAATAGACGGAAAAAAACGTATTTACGGTCAATTTTGACCTGACAGTTTGTGGGGTTTTAATATAAGGCCCCAGTTGAACAAAGCCTAATTGAGAAAGTGATTCGTTTAGAATTGACTCTAAAATTTTTAATATTACATTCTGTTCTTAGTATTATGTTCATCTACGAAACAGTTTCCTAGCAAGGGTTCTTTTTGATTGGATTGGCCAATCAATTAGAATTTTGAGACGCAGTTTCTCTTGACTTGGCAGCGATGCGCTTCCCATAGCCAAGTGTTGCCTAAGCTTTCGAATAAGTGGTTACAAATAGATTTTATCGAGAGGTATAGGAACACTAAATTTATTTAAAAAAAAGGAGACTTTTATATATGGATTCTACAGCAAACAAAGTAAATTTTATAAGTGGAGATTACATTTAATCCTTGTAAAATTAATTTTTATTTTTCAAAATATGCTGAGGTCGATCGATTGCCTTTGTATATATCCTTCTTCTGGTAGTGTCAATCCTTTATACAGATGACAGAACCAGGACAGGTGTGAAATAGTAGATTTATTGGTTTGATCTGATGCTCAAACAGTGGCAACAACGTAATGTGCAGTGTGACTTATGAGTGTTTTAAAAGCGAATAATTTGCAAGGGCTTAATTAATATCGGGCGGTTAGTGTATATATTTGCCAAATTATATACCCAGTTGTATGCAATATAAATGCAGTATATGTAATAACTTTATTTTTTCAAAATTTTACGCTTCGGCTTCTAAAAAGATTTTGCGTTATTACGATCTAAAACTAAATTATTCGGTACATCCGTCAATGTACTACTATTCTCATTCTATATTGAGTTAATCATATTTTTAACCTAGCATTAAAAGCTTTATAATATAGTATAATTAAGCGTCTAGTTTTTTTTAATAAGTCCGGAAATAAAGTTATAAAGCGAGCAGAGTGTACAGTGTACGGAAGTCTCAAATTCGAGTTAATTAGAAGTGTAATGTTTTATTTAGTGCCCATAGTAATAATGAGAGAGAATGTGCATAACTGCTTACGTTTCACACTTCTACAATTTTGTGTTTATTTTTTGTTACATTTAGTCTGAAAATAAAAGTGTTATACGTAATAACGTAATTTTATAAAGCGTAAATATTCGAAAGTTCTGAGAACAGTTTTATAATAGTAGGGCCATTAGGCAGGCAAACGTAGGACGCCTACAGGTCAGGTGGAGTGACGATCTGCGCAAGATGGCTGGCAGGAGCTGGATGCGAGAAGTAGAAATTCGATCTAAGTAGCGTGCAATGGGAGAGGCCTATGTCCAACAGTGGACTGCTATAGGCTGATGATGATGATGAAAGCACATTTCGTAAAAAATATAAATTTTTAGGTTCCAACTAATAAACCGTAAGAGTGCCATGCTTCGGCTCAGATAGACCGGTTCGGCCGGAGTTTAGCCACGGCCGAACAGAAAACTGGTGTTCAGCTATCAGTTGCGTTTAAACGAGTGAGTGAGGAAACGGGAAAATCCGAATCATCTGTCTTAGTAAGACAAATAGAGGGATAGTCCGACATTGCCACCGGTGAGTGGTATCCGAGGAGATTTCCGCCCAGAAAAAAAAAGGGTAAAATTCAGTCAGATGGATTCTCTTGAAGATATATCACATTGACACAATGTTTACATTGACGAAACGAATTAAACAGTTAACGTGGACACTAACGACATAGTAACGTCGCTGTCGTTATCAGTAATGAGTAGTTATGAGTTTATTAGTTAGTAGTAGTCATGAGTTGAGCTTTTAACGTTGTAACGCTCATAAATTGCGTTAACAGCTTGCCATACTTAAGCTAGAAGCTTGTTTGTTAAGTCACATAAAAAGCGGTACTCGTGTATTTGAACATTATAATAAAATCAACATGACGTAAGATGTAACACCTCGCAGACGGTGGCTTTGAGATACAAACGACACGTACTTTCCTCGGTATTACCAGTTTTGTGTCCAAATATTTGTCTAGTGTGTGTCGAAGAATCCTATTCAGTTATGTTTGTGGTGTATTTTTGTGTGTTGATATTAACTAGCTTTAGTAAATAGTTTAACTTGTAGTTTTATAAATATCAGTTGAACTAAATTTAGACTACAGTAATTGAAGCTAAATTGGTTGCATTTGGTATTCCTGAATGTCTTTTGTATCATTAGGTGTCTTACGTATCCTCTGGTCCTATGTCAAATTAATAATTTATTGAAGCAGTTAAGAAACACGACTGAAAACTCTAATTGATATTTCCTCTTTTGAAATATTTATAGAACAAAATAAACCTATAAATATTAAGAATACGTGACATGAATGAATAATATCCCCAAATTCTGTATTTGTGTAAGAGCTAGGCCTCTGTGAATGAGCAATAAGAAAGATATAAACTGACCTGAGTTGCAGTATACTGAAGACGGGCCTCGTTAGAAGGACCCATATCCAGCGATCGTATATGAAAGCCCTGATGAATGTTTAACAAATCCGAGCTGTAAGTCAGAATCGTGTCGAATAGCGTTTTGTCGTCTCTGCCTACACTGGACTTGAATGGGGTGTGAGTATATGTATGGAAATTCTGTATTTACGGCCTTAATGCCGTTTTTTTAAGCAAAATTACAAGAAGAATACGAATTAAATATAAATAACTTCAGAATCAGTCACGTACGCATAAATAATAGAAGCGGTAAGACCAAAAGAATATACATTGGCATAAAACTAGTGACACGAGGCTCGATGCCAAGACTGCTGGCGCCACATCGTACCATAAGGCTTCTTCGCGATTAGAATTAATCCTTAGCTCATTAGTAAAATAAATTGGTGTCACGATATAATGTACATATATATATGTGAAACTGTTTATGTATTTTTTTTTTGTAAAAAGACATCCCGCACTAGGATTAAGGGTTTACGGAAGTTGTAAAATAATGTTCCTGTAGTTAACTGTAAGAATTTGGTAAATGATCAGTCCAAAATGGCATCACGAATAACTTATTCAATTTCTTGCCCGTTTTACCGTTTTTTCAACAAAAAAAAAAACAAAAAAAAAATATATTTGGGGCCGGCATAATGTGTAACATTACAATAGGGTTTTGTCTGATTTCTTTTCTTGACGGCCACCTGCCTGATGCCAACCTTTGGTAATGTAATCGTTTCCACAAGGGATGAAGGAAATTGTTAAATTGGAGTAAGGAGTGGATACCGCAATACTCATATGGCTCTCCTGTGTATGAGACCTCCAGGCCCTCTTATGTGGTAGGTCACTAGGTCAGAAACATCAACTAGCCAGAGAAAAAGTACTTAAAATTAAAATGGGCAACGATAAATAAATCTAAATGTTTTGAATGTTTCTGTTATTTGTAAAATAGGCCATCATAATAACATTAATATGTAAATATCCAAAAAATATTATAATACAGTTACATTTTTCATTGCGGTAGGTATACGATTCGGACATTTCCGATTCATCATCGGACACTCAGTCACATTTCACAAACTTTGAACTTTTCAAACGGTACTTAGTATTTACAATCACTTTTACTTGGAATCCAAAGCTTTGAACTCCTAAATGGCAAGTTACATAAATACCTTTCAAACAATCTTACATTACAGTTCAATAAGAATACATATACAGTTTCGCTTTCATTCACAAGACATAACGCACCTATATCCTGCATTGCTGTTTCTGTCGCACAACCAGGATGTCACGCATTCGGGAAGGAAATCGGAAATGCATATCAAATGCATTTGAAATGATGGGCTGGTGATCTCCCATGTCTTTCATGGAAGACATTATAACTTTCTATGCTGTGTTAAATTAACCACGTGTACTATGGTAAACATCACTATGATTAACATATTGCAATTTATAACTTATGGATAACATTTCCAAGAGTTTAGCATCAGGCATAAAAGAATCCAAAGACTAAAACAAAATCCTTTTACAATGGTACAGATTGCGCGAATCCCGCGCAGACTTACACGGATGGCGTAGTGGTTTAAGCGGTCAACTCGCCGCTTCCTACTGCGCTGACTGTTGTGGGTTCGATCCCCACATGGAACCACACTTTGTGTGATCCACAAATTGTTGTTCTGATTCTTGGTGTTCATTGTGTCCGTTTCATGTATGTCTGTTAAGTCCCCCGCGAAACGGGTATATTCCTAGTGCGGGAGTTGTCTTTAAAAAATAAAGTGCCAAAAGGGCCGTTCGAGTAAATTCTAAGCTACAGAGTAAACAGCCATAGTGTATACCTGGTGAATTCCAAAATCTAAGTATTTGTTTGTGGCTGTCCGGGAGTGGAAAGTCAGTACATTTTCTCGCCATGCTAAAGAGAGAAAATGAATGCTTTTTCTCTGTTGATTTAAGTGGCTATAAAAGTGGCAGAAAATTATCAAGTTATCCAATCGACGTCGGTTTAGTAATTATATTAATCTCTGATTAGAATTGTTAAGTTGCAAATGTTGGTTGAGAAGTGTAAACTTAAAGTCGTATGCCAATTGCCAGTATAATGAAGGAGAATTCTCTGCGCACTTTTGGTGAAGTAAGCTGTCTTGTTATACCAGCGTTGTTTTTCCACACGCTTCGCCTCTTTGCTACCAGCTTAAGGGTTTTAGAAACCAATTCTAAATAGTAAATTTCCTTTTGTTTGATATTCAGTCATATGAACAAACGCTAAGTTTATAATTATACAAGTCACACCAGTAGCTCCTTTGTCTGGCTTCGTAGGGGAATTTTCGTAGGGGGTTTTGCGTCTATTGCCTTCAGTTCTGTACCTGTTATATAGGTTATGACATAGTTAAACTGTACTCAAGTTGTTGTTATTATTCATACATAATAATCTAGACTTTAGTATACTTTCATTTGTTACCAAGAGCATACAATCTTTAGACTGTCTGTTGTCAGATCACTTTCTGAGTCAGCGGTGATGCAACGGTATTGTTCACTGAATAATCATATATATTACTTTCGCTGCATATTATATGTGTTACTTGTACTAATAAATCTGCGAAGCGAGGTCGGATGATACGG